TCTTTGCCGGAGGACCCAAAACCCCCTAAACTAACTCTCCTGCCTAACTCTTTTCTAAGAGCCATGAACCCCCTTATTATTAATAAGGATATTGAGGGACAGGAGTCTCTTCTTCTGCATGTGCTTCCTGCTAAGGAGGGTCATTGTCCCTGCCTATTGGGGTTTCATGGAGCTCTTTCTCTCTCTGCCTTAGTCAGGATGGGGTCGGGTATCCCACCAAAATGCTTCCTCTGTCCCTAGACAAGGAAAAATATAAAAACTTGTTATTTGAATCATATATCTAGTTATGTTTCTATCATTAATTTGCCCATCAAGCGGGTAAAGGAAAATAGGCTTGGTTAATATATTTTGTAAAAGGAAAAAAAGAGAGGAAAAACTTGCGTTAAAGGTCCCCTCTGTTCCCCGACTCTAAGGGCCCTGTTTTGGCCTAAAGCCATTCCTGCCTTATAATAGGCCAAGGAAAATGCTGAGCTTCAATGATCCTTATCAATAGCCAGAGGACCTGAGTAACCTGTTTCAAAGTAATTCTCTAAGTCTGAGGGAGAGGGTCTTTCTCCAAAGAAAGGAGGAAAGAAAAGACTTAACTAGGTTTCCTAAAAAGATTAAGAATTTTGCAAATGATGGCCCTGCATGGTATGGTGCCTCTCTCCTCTTGGGATCTATGAGTCACAAACCATCTTTTCAATGGCAATTATCTTCAAAACAAATTGCCTCACCATACTTAAATAATAAAACTACAAACTAACAAATTTGACCTAATTACATACATAGAACACTTCATTCAAGACTGAGTTAAAATTCTTTGTGATTGTTCATGGAACATTTAGCAAATATTGACCATATGCTGCACCATAAAGCAATTTTCAAATAATTGAAATCATTCAAGTATGTTCACAGTGAAATTAAGCTAGAAATCAACTAAAAACAAACAACTAAGGGAAAATCCTTAAATGTTTGGAAATTAAGCAATATACTTTTAAGTTACCAAGCAATATACTTCTATGTTACCCTAGCTTCAAAGACAAAAATTAAGAAAACAAAGAAGCAAGCACAATAAAATTAGATATATTTTGAACTAAATAATAAAAGAATGACATTAAAACTGAGATGCAGTTAAAGTAGTGCTTAGGAAGAAATTTATGACTATTTTTTTATGGAGGTATAATTGGCATACATCATTATATTAGTTTCAGGTGTACAATATAATGATTTAATATTTGTATACACCGCAAAATGATCACCACAATAAGTCTAGGAATTGTCACCAGTTACAAAACTTTTTCTTGTGATAAAAACTTTTAAGATTTACTGTTAGCAACATTCAAATATAAATGCATATATTAGAAAATTTTAAGTCTAAAAAATCAACAATTTAAGTATTCATCTCAAGAAGTTATAAAAACAATAAACTTTAATAGAAAAAGGGAAATAATAAAAATGAGAAGTTATTGAAAAAGAAAGTAAACATAAATAGGAAGAAAATCACTCAGGTGGTGTCAGAGAATTAGAGAACTGGCAATGGAACTATGTCGGAAAAAGACATCAAATAATTATATTAAGTGAAATAAGCCAAATACAGAAGGACAAATACTGTTTGATTCCACTTACATAAGGTACCTAGAGTAGGCAAATTCATAGAGACAAAGTAGAATGGTGGTGGCCAGGGGGCTGGTGGAGTAGGGAATGAAAAGTTATTGTTTAATAGTTTCTGTTCGAGATGATGAAAAAGTTCTGGAAATAGATAGTGATGATGGTTCCACAATACTGTGAATGTCCTTAATGCGGTACACTTAAAAAGAGCTAAAATGATAAATTTTGTTATGTATATTTTACTACGATAAAAAAAGTAACAAAAATGTATTTTAAAAATAGTAATCATATACGCAAATACAAAAACTCACCCCACATTCCCCTGTAAACATTTATTTTTTCAACAGTTCATAAATTTAATAAACTTCAGAGGGTTTAATATTTAAATTACTTAAAAGTATATGTATAACCCTTTGAACAAAATACGAATTTCAGAGTCCATACTGATAATAAATAAGGGTATATGTGGAGAAGAGAGGTTGAAAAGTTCTTTTAGTAGAACACCAACTAATAAATTTAGAATAATGGAGTTAGAAAATCACACTTTTGAAACCTTCATAGTAATCATTAATTCAGGATAGTCAATTCAAAGGATGCTAAAGCTAGTGGGTTTGTTTAGAAACAAATATTTACATAGTCTCAAAGTATCTCTCCATAAATTCATCCATTACAAAAGAAAAAGTAACAGGGCAGAAACATGGTGGGCGCCATTTTAACCAAGTGATCAAAATTACAATAACTAGTGACACAAACCAACATTATGTGCCTCCTGATTTGACACACTGGAAAAAGCACACCAACATTTATGTAGTGTTTATGAAATAATGCATACTAAGATAAAGATTTTATATTAAGCAAGACAGGAAGCCCTCCTGTTAGTCTGAACATCAGAGAACAAGAACAACAAAAAGGTTTTAAATAAAGCAATGAAACTTAAATACTGTATAAAAAAAAAAAAAAAAAAAAAACCATAGCTTTTGCTACATTGGCAATGAATATTGCTCATTCTTCAGTTTTTAAAACCCAATAGTCGCCCAAAAACATTATTCTCATTAATTTTATGATCATGTACTCATTCATTCTAGAAATATTTATCAATTTTAAACAAACACTGTTCACTGCTAGAAGAAAACAAAGCTGCAAATAATCATTAATGGACTCTTTTCATTGAAATTAAAATATATTTAATCACATTGGAAGGTAAGGTTTATTAACTGTGGCTGAGATACATGAACATAACTGCAGGTGAGAAATTGGTTTAAAATAAGAAAATGCCACATATGCAATTTAATAAGAAAATGAACTGCAATTCAGCTTTACTTTTATTTTTATGTTGCTTAATTTTATATACATTACACATATCATACATTCATGTTATACAAAAATATATACAAAAATTCAAGTAATTTAATATCTAAAAAAAGGGAGAGAGATACTGCATTTGATTTCCGGTACTATTGTTTAAATACTTTTTAAATTCAGATTTCAAGAAGACAACAAATCAAAAGCCATTAATTTTTAAGAAAGCTTTGTGTTCACATAAATTCATCATTCGTCTTTTATTGAAACAATAAACCATTTGACTGGTTGCAAAGTCGAAATGAATAGCCATGAAATTGAGCAAAAGTAGAGCTTTCTTTAACTCTGCTTTCATCATCCTAGAATCAGCATTTGACATATGAAATGCAAAGCATGACAGTGATTTTTAACCTTACAATGATATTTAACTTTACACTATTAATGCCATATTATAGGGTTGACAACGTACAGCACACACTATATTGTTTGTCTGTAGATTCTCATTAAAAATATAATATTAAAAAATAATAATTAGAAATTTTACTTTTCCTAATTTCTTTTTTATTCAATTTGAAAAACAGTACACCTTTTTCATTATGCTTGGCAACTTGACATCATACTTGAAGGAATAATTTAAAACATCCTATGGACAAAATATGTACATGAACTTATAAAAGACCTTGGCATTGTTTAATTAATTCGGTTATAATTTCAATTCTAGAGTTATCAATCACAGAAAATATAAAGAATTGAAAATAATATTCTTCACCATAGTATAAACATGTTTTTTAAAAAAGTAAATTATTGAGGCACAAAAACATGAGGTGACTTGCTCAAGGTCATGAAAGGAACGAAGGGCACATCTGAGCATTTTTTCCCTAACTTAAGTGCCTATACGAAATCCTAGATTATACCATCTTGCAAAATTAGCTCAGTGCAACAGATATAGTAATTAGATGCATTATTTAGGAATGTTTATTTAACTAGACTGCTGTTATTAATAAACCTAACTCTAATAATCTATATGTTTATCATACATTATTAGAAATTTATAAAAAGAAATGTGATCATTTTCTGAATAATTAGGCATGAAAGGAGTTATTGTTTAAAATTTGACACAATTACAAAAACAAAATTGACAATACAATTTTTAACAAGTTCAGAGAAAGATGCTTACTAACATGATTTTTACAAAAATACTTATTATAGAACCTACAAAATTTAGAAGATAGTACTATAGACACAAACATATTAATATAAACATATTCGATCGTCTTTTAGTTGATGTTTTGTTTCTTATGAAAACGTTCTAACAAAGCACTCATAATGTTTCCAGGTATTCTTTGGTGCTTATCAATCAAAGCTTGAACAGCATTCTTTGTCTGTTAAGAAAACAAAAGAACAGCCATTATTCTTTTAGTTCTCAATACAGATCATTTCTTTTGTAAAGATTTTAATGTACTACTACCCTCAAGAAGTATTCTCTAATTTTGCACCTATCTCTCCTCAGAATTAATGAGCTCCTCCTCAATTCACCCAGAGTGTATTTCTTATACTTATTTCATTATGCTTGGATCACAACATTGTCCACACGTCTATTTTCTATACCAGACTGTAAGCTCCTTAGGGTACACTTTAGTTTTTCTCCAGCATTGAGCACAACAAAGCTTTGCACACAATACTTTTTAAAAGAACTGAAGAAAACAATCAGAAGAAAAAAAGTAGCAGGAAATTTTCTAGCAGGCAAATGGAAGTTTCACTCCTTTCCATCCATTAATAAACTTCTGTGCATTTCTCTTCATCACCTTACACACTAAACAACTGTATCAGGCAATACAAAAGAAAAAAGCGAGAAAAACTATGAATGAATGAGCTGATATACTTTATTACCTAAATTTCTAGACAGTTTAAAAGAAATTTAAATTGAGTCATAGCAATGGAAAAACTCAGTATAATTGAGAAATGTAAAACTATTTGTTTCCCATTAAATTCATAAATTTCAATAATTTTTACTTTCAACTCGGTTGTGGTTATCTAAAAAAATGTTTTATGCACATAAACAGTACACACATGAGTATGCATACATCCTTCTTTTTAGATGCTAACCTTACAATGAGCCTTCTTTTTACAATTTTGGAACTTCATCCCTTTTTTAAATATAATTAATAAAATTTACCCCAAATATTTTTAAAACATGCTTCTCTAAACCACAAGTTTTCACATCTGTGAAGTGAGAACTATTTCATACAGTTACTTTAAGAATTAAATGAAATGGAAACCATGCCTTCAGGTACTTAGCCCAGTGGCTAACACATAGGCTCTGTTCTGTTAAGTATTTTTTTAAAACTTTATTCACTGATTCGAAAAGATATCAGATGCTTTGGAAGTTATAATATTAGTAAAACAAGTCTCAAATCTCAAGGAGCTCATAACTTAAAAAGCGTAATAAAGTACAAAGTAATTAAAATGTTAAAATCATTTGTGAGATGTATCATCTGAGACGTGAAAGGAAAGTATTTGGAAGTTCAGACTTGTGAGCCCATCTGGTAGGCAATGACCGGGGTACTGTTTGGTCTGGGTCCCCAAGGATCAGTAAAATTTCAGTAACAGTGAAGGAAGAAGCATGAGGAAAAGACCCAGGAAAACAACTGTTGAAGGAATGGCAAGTTATCAAGTCTGGCTGGAGTTTCAGGTGTGTGTTTATAGGGGGTGGTATAAGGCTTCACAGTTAGGATTCAATTAAATAATGAAGGGAGTTAAATACCAGTGAAAAAGTGCAGAGGTTTAGTATGAATTGAGGTGTCAAGGAAGGACTGAAGTGAAGAAATATCAGAGCCATGTATTAAGAAAATACAAGTATTTCAGAGATCACCAATGATCCCCTTTTGTCACTAAATCCAAAGGACATTCTTCTAATCTTACCTTACCTCTCGATCACCATTGATCTTGCCTCTGTAACTCTCACACTAGAGGAAAAGCTAAGTTTTCTTCTCTCAGGCTGCTCCCTTTCACTCTTCTTTAGTAGATTTATAATCCTAAAATCAGGCACTGACTTATTCTTCAAAGGTTTGGTAATCTTACTTAATTCCACAGCTTTAATTACCACTCATTTGCTGATGGCTCCCAAATTTATATCTCCAGCCCACTCAGTTTCAGCTAGGAATGTTCAATGTGACTTCCCTTGAATGTCTTAAAGGCACCTCAAACTCAACCTTCTTAAGACTAAACTAACATTCTTTTCCCCTCATACTTTGTTCTTTCTCAAGTTCCCTGTTTCAGCCAATGACACTGCCATGAATCTAGCCAAGAAAGTCAAAACCAAAGAGTCACCTTCACAACTCCTATTGCTCATTCACAGTAGCCAATCAGGCCATAGGCAGCGTCCACTACTACCGCCTCCCAATACCATCCAAATCTATCTGCTTCTCTCCATCTTCTTTCCACTTTAATTACACATGGATATGTAAATACACCTGTATTTATATGCATATGTGGATATAAGTATGAAAACGTAGAGAGAGGCAGAGACAGACAGAAACCGGCATTATGAACGTGGAAACACAATAACAGAGAGATTAAGACAGAGAACTTTAAGGGAATGTCTCCAGTGTCCTCTTTGGCATTAGTACAGTATATTTTAATCTAGATTTAGATAGTGTTTATAAAATGGTTCTCCACAATCAAACACTGAATGGTCTATCACCCACTTTTAAAATGAGGTTTCACTGCTACATTAATTTGGATACTAGTAATTCTGAATTTGTGATAATCCAGGGATCCTTATGCTATAGTTTATGTTTATATTATTAACAATGAAGATTAGAAAATCATAACAATGTATTTACAAAAGGAAAATTTCAAGTATTCTTTAGTTCAATGACAATTTATGATAAAAATATGGATATGGCAATTATATATTTAAGTAAATTTCATCAAGAAATTCTACTAAACTATGCTCTAGTAGACTACTTCTACTACATAACAAAGTACATAAAGTAACTGGAAACAAAACCGAGGTATTTCAGTGCTCCAAAAGGTTTATCTTTTCTTACTTAGTTTGAATTAGTAATGTATGTGTGTGTATGTGTATATATATGTTATATATGTGTATATATAATACATAATATATGTATAAAATATCTGACTCCACCAGTGATACGCGTATGAGTAAATTTTTCTCTCATATGAAAAGCCCTCATATGAAAAATCAAGTCATTGGAATTTAACTATCAGTAATACATTTTCCTTAACAGAAAAATAAAGGAACAGGAATCATTTAATTTTAGACCTGGAAGAAACCTCTGATAATCAGGCCAGTCTCCCTCTCCACCCCCAATCCTCCATTACCTTCTATTTTGACCATAAAAAAAGACAGTATCTATAAAAAATTGTTCCTAACTAGCTCTGACCCACTTAAATCCTAATAGATAGGCAGGAAAAAAGTATAAAAAGAACAAAACAGAATTCAGTTATATCCTAAAGGAGAATGCATTTGTTAGGGAGCAGCAAAGAAATGTGTTATATTAACAATAAAGTGTGTGTGGGCAGCAGCAGTGTCACAGGGTGAGGTCTCAGCCTGGCGTAGCGCCCCAGCAGCCACCTCAGGAAGGCATCATTTCAGGATGAGAGATGAGTCATGCTTTGTGGAGAGTGTGTCCTAATCTTAAAAATCGGTGTCATAGGGTTTTACTTTCAGGATAAAACAGAAAAAACTATGAGAGGACTTAATGAACCAGTAGAATAATTGGAGGTAAGTTTGCTAGGAATGAAGTTCATAGACAAGGCATATAATACACTATTAATGTTACCTTTGTGAAAGTTCCTACTGAGAAGCAGCTTTGAATAGTCTTGTCTAATATAACACTATAGCTGGTTCAGCCACACATCCTTGTCTAAATGTCTGACCTTGCCGAGTTCCAGTATGGTAGAGTGTTCCTTCTCTCCGCCTACAAGGCCCTCTCTTTTGGGCCATCCCTGTAGGAGGAAGCCAGGTCTTGCTCCACTAGAGTCTAGTGTGGCCACTTTGGCCAATAAAATGTCAGTGGGAGTAAGTGAGCCACTTCTAAAGAAGCTTTAAAGGCCATCTCATGGTTCCGTTCCTGACCTTCTTCTTTTGCCAGGCAAATGGCAACATCTCATATAAAGTTCTTTCAGCCTGAGTCCCAGACAGATAAGACATGGCCCTCAGGGAAAACATAACATGAACAAAAAGTAAGTTTTACTGTCCTAATCTTCTGAGATTCTGTGCTTTTTTGCTACCACAGCAAAACCCAGCAAGGTTGAATAAATAATCAATTTTTCTCATCAATAAGACAGTGATAATAATAAATTAAAACCACAGTGAGATATCACCTCACACCTGTTGGAATGGCTATCATTAATAAATCAACAAACAAGTGCTGGCCAGAATGTGGAGAAAAGGGAACCCTCGTGCACTGTTTATGGGATTGCAAACGAGTGCAGCCACTGTGGAAAACAGTATGGAGGTTCCTCAAAAAACTAAAAATAGAACTACCATATGATCCAGCCATTCCATTTCTAGCTATTTACCCAAAGAAATCCAAAACACTAATTTGAAAAGATATATGCACCTCTATGTTTATTGCAGCAGTATTTACAATAGCCAAGATATGAAAACGGCATAAGTGTACATCAATAGGCAATTGGATAAAGTGTGGTACATATATACAATGGAATATTACTCAGCCATAAAAAAGAATGAAATTTTACTATTTGCAACAACATGGATAGACCTGGAAGGTATTATGCTAAGTAAAATAGGTCAGACAAAAAAAAAAAAATACCGTATGATCTCACTTATATGTAGAATCTAAAGAAAATGAACAAACAAAACAAACAACAATAAGCAAACACAAAAAAATAAATGCAATGAATCTAAAGAATGAACAAAACAAACAGACAAATAGATGCAGGGAACAAGATGATGGTTGCCAGATGGGAGCGGGGTTGGGAGCAGGTGAAAAAGGTAAAGGGATTACAAAGTACAAATTGGTAGTTACAAAACAGGCACAGGGATGTTCCCTAGAGGGAATACAGATAGTAATATTGTAATAACTATGTATAGTGTGAGGAGAGTACTAGACTTGTCAGGTGGATCACTTCGTAAATTATATAAATGTGTAACCACTATGCTGTATACCTGAAACTAAGATAAAATAATATTGAATGTCAACTGTAATTGAACAATCAAAAAAAGGGGGAAAAATGAAGAGGAATAAGAGGTTCAAACAAACAATAAGAGGTATAAAACAAACAAGTCATGGGGATGTGTGCACAGCATCCAATACAGTACTGTATGTTAGCTATATTTTAATAAAAATCTTTTAAAAAAACAATTACCATCAGCCTTGGTAAGGTATAATTGCTAATTAAATATACCAATTTGAATGGGATTGCACTGTGTAAATAATGTTGGTCTTTTTTTTTTCTTCTATTAGAGTAAATCATTGTGAGAAGGAAAAAAACAGTGATAATAATAAGGGCTACCCTAGAGGATTGATGCGAGGATTAAATCAGACTACACATGGAAAAAAAAGTAAAATTATCTTTGTTCACAGATATGATTTTACATGTAGAAAACTCTAAAGATTTAACAGAAACTTGTTAGAACTAATAAATGAATTCAGCAAATTTGCAGGATATAAAATCCGCACACAAAAAACAGTTGTGTTTGTATACACTAATAATGAACACCGAAAAAAGAAAATGAGAAAACTATCCCATTTACAACAGCATCAAAAAGAACAACATACTTAGTTATAAACTTAACCTAAGAAGAGAAAATCTTATACATTGAAGACTATAAAACAATGGTGAAAGAAATTAAAGACACAAATAAATGGAGAGATACCCTGTGTTCATAGATTAGAAGATTTAATATTAAGATGATCATACTATCCGATGTACACATTCAAGGCAATCCCTATCAAAATCCCAACAGCATTTTTTTGCAGAAATAAGGAAAAACATCCTAAAATATATCCAAAGAAATTCAAAACAGGATCTTGAAGACATATTTGCAAACCCAGGTTCACTGTAGGATTATTCAAAACAGCCAAGAAACTGGAAGCAACTCAAATGTCCATCAGTGAATGAATGGATGAGTGAATAAACAAAATGTGGTGTATATATACAATGGGATATATACAATGGGATATATACAATGTGTATATATACAATGGGATAGTATTCAGTCTTAAAAATAAAAGGAAATCCTGCCACATGGTACAATATGGATAAACCTTGAGGACATTATGCTAAGTGAAATTAAGTCCATCACCAAAAGACAAATACTGTATGATTCCACTCATATGAATCTTCAAAAGTAATCAAACTCATAGTAACAAAAAGTAGGACGGTGGTTGTCAGAGGCTTGGGGGCGGAATAAATGAGGAGCTGGTATATGATCTCACTTATATGCGAATCTAAAAAAGCTGAACTCATGGAAACAGAGAGTAGAATGGTAGTTGCCAGAGTCTGAGGGATGGAGGGGTGAGGAGACACTGGACAAGCATACAAACTTCCAGTTATAAGATGAGTAAGTTTTGAGGATCTAATGTACAGTATGGTAACTATAGTTAACAATATCATATTACATATTCGAAAACTGCTAGGAAAGTAGATCTTAAATATCTCACAGCAAAAAAAAAGTAATTGTGTGAGGTGATGGAGGTGTTAACTTTATTGTGATAATCATTTCCCAACTTATACATGGGTCGTATCTTCACATTGTACACCTTAAACTTATACAATGTATATGTCGACTATATCTAAATAAAGCTGGGGGTGGGGAAGAATCTTGCATAGCCCATAATTAAGAACAAGAATAAAGTGTTGATGGATGTACATGAAGGAAGGAGGGAGGGAAGGAAGGAAAGAAGGAAGAAAGGGAGGGATAGTTGGTGTTCAGTGGGTATAGATTCAGATTTGCGGGATGAAAAGGTTCTAGAGATTGGTTGCATAACAATGTGAATATACACTATAGAACCATACACTTGAAAATGGTTAAATTGATAAATTTTGTTATGTGTTTTTTAAAAACTTTTTAAAAAATTAGACTATGTATAGAAAAGGCCAGTATAAAAGTCATAACACATCTCATTTTCTAGGTGATTCAAAAATATGACATTTATTGCTTTTTATGTAGTTTCATACTCCCTGAAAGTATAATTGCAAGCTGAGTGGTCATTTCTCATCTCATCTTCCTTGATGTCTTTACAGGAACAAACATTACTGATTACTCCTATGTTTTAAAAAGCCTCACCTGCTGACTTCTCTCACTGACTTCAAATTGACTTGTTCTCTTACCTCTGCTACTTCCTCTTCAGTTGGCTTTGGTTGTTTCCCATGGCCCACTCCTTAGCTCTTACACCTTCTGGCCTCAGTTCTCTTCATTCTCTTTCTAACCTGCCTTGTAAAGCTCATGGCTTCAGTAATTGTCTCAGTGCAGGTGACTTCTAAAATTTCATTGCCAATTCTGACTTCTCTTCCCAAACTCCAGCAGAATATTTCCAAAAACCTACGTGTATAAATATATACATAGATATCCTGCAGGTACCTATATAGAATTAGTTTTCAAGTCTGGTACATTCTATCTGTAAAATTTCTCAATTCTATACTTTGCTCTCATGTATATAAGGAGATCATTATCTAATCCATTCATTCATCAAATGTTTATTGAGATCTAATTAAATATATAACACTGCGCTAGGAACTAGAGACACAAAAATTCATAAACCTCTGGTCTTAAAGAGTACACTTTTATTTATATGATTCTAAGTAATCACAATTGCTAGCATCATCTTCACAAACCATTGTAGAGGAAGAGATTATACATCTGCTTGCTTTGGCCAAAGAAAGTCGAGTGGAAGTGATATGAGCTACTTCTAAACAGAGGTCTATCCTAATTGAAATGTATTTGATAGACAAATTCCTAAGTTTGATATGTAAGGGCCTAAAAATGTAGCTCCTACTTACTTTTCCAGTTTCATCTACCAACTGTACCCACTAAGGTAATGATTCCAACTTTATTCTATAGCTATTCAAGGAAAAATAAGAACAGGGTTTTGGTCAGATGAAACTGGAAAATACTCTTTGGAACAAAGTTAAATAGACCTCTTTATTTCGGGGCTTCTTAGAATCTTTAATATGTGCTTTGCAAAATTCCTGGAGAATTTATTAGGCAGTCTTTCTCAACCCCGCTGTTCCAATCACATCACACTGTTCAACACTGTTGGTGCGTGCGGTCACCTTAGTTCCTGACACTGTTTCTTTGTTAGCACTCTCCCTCCAGCCCCAAGTCTTCATGTCCAAGTCATGCCCATCCTTCAAGACCCACCACAAATGCCTTCATTCTAGAAAGCTTTCCTATTTTTTCCCTCACAAAGCAGTCTCTTTACCCTTTGATCTTCTACTGGTCTCACTCAAATTAGCCTCCATATCACCTCTAGTGATCTTTCTAAATGCGACCTATTTTATCTTTCATCTGCTTTCAATAGCTCCCCTGGCTAGCAGTAAACAAAATCAATTGCAGGTCATCGTAGTCCAGAACTTCCTAAGTTTCTGCCCTCATCTACAAACCCCATCTAGCTACCCCAGACCACCTTCAAATCCCTAAAGATTTCATTCATGCTGTTTCACGTTGCCATCCCTTCATAAATTCAGTTTTCTCTACTTCGTTACTTTGTCCACCTAATTCCATCTTGTCTTTCAAAATTAAATTCAAGCACCACCTTCCTCAAGGTGGTGTCTCTGATCTAATTTAGATACCTTTCCTCTGTGCTTCCATAATACCCTAACACGGCAGTTCTCAACCAAGGGAGATTTTGCACCCCAGGCAACACATGACAATGTCTAGAGACATTTTTAATTGTCACCTTTTAGAATGGCTAGCTCTTTGTTGTGGAGAGTTGTACTGTGCATCGTAGGTTGTTTACCACCACCCTTGGCCTCCACTCACTAGATGGCAGTAGCACCACCGCCTCCCAAGTCCTGCCTGTTGTGACAATAAAAAATGTCTCCAGACACTGCCAAATGTCCCCTGGGGAGAAAATCACTGATCACTGATCTAGAACATGCTTGTAAAATAAATTAACAAATTAATTTTTAATATACTAATTTAAAGTAAAAATCTAACCAAGGACTAAGAAGGAAAGAATAATTTACCTTTTCGGCTAATTCTTCTGCTGTTACCTTTGGATCGTATGGAATGGGATCACCTAAGTAGGTACGTAACTTCACTGGAAAACCTCCATACATTGGAGCAAATGGATAGCGGAATTTTTCATAAAGCCATCTAAATAGCCCTGTTTTAAAGTAAACAAAATTGTTTTAATTGATTAAATATTCTGAGCATGTAATTGTAACCTTTCAAATTAATTATGTAAGACTTAGAAGAAGGCGGCAAACAATATCACCTCCTGGCAATTAGCATTTTTTTTTAAAAAGAGGAGCTTTTCATCAATTGTAACAGATGAACAAGATGTTAATGATAGAGGAAATGGGGTGGGGGTTGACGAGGGGGTTTATGAGAACTCTCCGTACTTTCTGCTCAATTTTTCTGTAAACCTAAAAGTGCTCAAAAAGATAAGGTCTATTAATTTTTTTAAAAAGTATGACCTTTTAAAAATGAGTATTTTAAAAGGCAAGCCAATTACTACTGTTGCAAAACAAAGGGTAATGGCTGAAACCAAAAACTAGAAGCTAAAATGTCTAGAGACTCACAAATACATACGTGACTTACATGAATAGAAGAAAAAAATGGAAGCATAAAATAAATTCACATAAACGTGAGACTAAAATTCATCAATAAGCTAGGTAAAGACTAAAAACATTATTATAAATTAGGAAAAATTCAACAAAGCAAAAATTACGAATGCTAATGAACAAGTATAAAATTTAGCAAGATTAAATGTGATAATAATATAAACTGATGGACTATAAGACTAAGTTTTTTAAAAAATAAATTCAAGAAAGGCAAGCAACACAATACATAAATGATGACTCATACTGGAAGTTTAAAACACTGTTTAAATATGCAAACACAGAATACACCATAAGATCCAAAGTAATACTCAAAAAAAAAAAAAATCACTGGACACTAAATTTTTTAGTTCATCAACTAGTAAAGTGAAAAAAAGCTTAAAAAGCAGTCAAAAAGTACTTTAAAACCACTTTGCAGTTTAAAAAGACAAAAATTAGGAATAATTTCTGCTGTGCAACTTATTCTGAAGAAATGATCTGACAGAAAATCAAAATAACTCCACGACAAAAGTTAAACATCACATCAACTTGCCTTTCCATTTTAAATTTGAAAAAAAAAAAAAAAAGACCTAAAAAACATAATGGAATTTCAATGATACAGCAACATTGGACATAAAAGAAGCAACAAATTTAAAGTTCTTTAAGAGGGGATTTGTATGGAGATAGAAACACTAACAACATAGTACTAAGCGTATAAAATATAATCAACCAAATATAATATATAAAACATAGGGCATAAAAACAAACTATGAAAATTTTAAAACAAAACAACAGACATTGCAAAGTAAAGCACATCTAATTGTTATCACTCCTATAACTAGATTTAGAGCTTATTTTGTTACCAATAAATTAAAGGTTGGTAAAAAGAACTTTTCAATGTCAATGTGTGTACCATGGCTCAAAATATTTTTAAAACAAATAAAAGAAGTAACAGAAATAAACTAAGGAACATTATGTCTCCTTAGGTTGTTCATCGTAATTCAATATCATATATTGTTATCCATTTTTAAAGCTGTAACTTCTTCAGGGGTGAATCAGGAAGACAAGGTTATATGTAAATCTGTCCTAATCTTCAACATGTTTTAATATAGTAAATTAGATAATTTACTCTATAATATTAAAAGGCCCATAACAAATAAGTATATGAGATTTAACAAAAACCTACATCTAATAACTGCCATTACTCAGAACCAGTTATCATTTAGACTTTATATAGAAAAATATCTAAATAGAAAAACGTCTAAATTTTGAACCTTTCTAGGGTTCAAAAGCCCAAATATTTAAAATATTACATTACAAATACATTATAATTAGAAAAACCATATGAACCAGAACTTACTTGTTCCTCCAAGTGATCTAAATCCTTCTCGAATATTTTGTGTAAACATAGGAATAATGGGCTAAAGAGAGAATTTGAATTAAAAAGTAAATATATTAATCCATTCAATGCCTCCATTGAGTCACTAATGTAAACTTTTGAGAGCCCATTTAAGATTATGAAAACAAGGTATTTTTAAAATAAAGGTATACTTTTTTCACTGCTGTGATTTATCAGACTAAACTTGATCTGTAGAAATATAGATTGGAAACACTACCCTCTAGTGGTAGCATATAATACTTCATTTATCAACTTTCCTATCATTCCACATAAACACTTGATACTCAAAAATTATAATAATCATTAATTTCATAAATAAAATGAATGTGGAAAATTAAATTGGTTTTAGTGGGCTACTGAATAGTATGCTCGCTGAAGAAAAAGCTACAAGACAGAGATTCTCTCTACTGGGAAATTTATATAAATTTAAATGAAAGGTTTTAGCAAGATGCTGTCATGGAATTAGTAAAACATCTTTTTGTGAGCTTATTAAATGTCAAATTGTTCGAAATCAATGAAAAGTAAGTGTAAGACTTACAAAAAAAAGGAAAAGTATATATGTTAAAGAATTATTCATGTCATTAGTTTTAAAGTATTTCTGCTCACAAGGTCATGGTTTTTATTTTTCCACAAATATCAATAATTAATTTTTCAAATGGAGACTGTAACTATATGTCAAAAAACAATATATTAAGTAGCAAAAGATCATGTAAGGAGGTTATGACAGTAAAACTGAAGTAAATTAAAAAGTGAACACTTTAAACCCAAAAAATATACCAAATTAAATGATGATTTAGAATAGATAAAATTGGGGGAGGGGGTGAGTGTCACTTTACTTATAATCTACCATCAGCATTTGCTTAATACAGAATTACCTGCCTTCGTAAGCAGGATCTAAGCTATTTTAATAAGCTAATATTTAAAAAGCTATTCCTACTCAGTTTTGGAAAACAGTAAAATGTGGTGGACTGAAGGAGAGACTATAGGTGTACCTTTCTTCATAAAACTTATTACCTTATATAAAAGAAACTGATGACTTATTTATTATATCTCTCCCCTCCCCGAGAAGGAAGGCTCCTAATCACACAGACATTGTTTTCACTGCTATATTCCCAGCACCCAGAACACTGCCAGGAATAGACCAGGTGCTAAAAGAAAATGTGATGAATGAAGTAAGGAAGGCATGAATAAACACAACAATGTGTCTAATGAATTAGTTCATATTCTCTGAATACAAAGGGTCAGAAATAGGCAGCAGCAATCTTAAAACCAGTTAGAAAAAAGAGATGTCAGGTAAAGAAAAGCAGTCAGATGAAGAACTTAAAATTCAACGGTGTTAACTCATAAAGCAAACATTGAAGGCAAAGTACATTGACGCTTTTGTAAAAACTTCAGATTATGATCTAGGAAACCACAACTAACTTTGTAAAATAAAATGACAGCTGAAATCCTAATGTTTTAAGTAGTTATAACATTAGAGTTGAGAACTGAAAACACCCAAGAAGGATTAGAAACTTTTCAGCTCACATATATACTAGCTCGCCTTCTCAGATCAGCACTACTGGGTTTATATCTGACTTGCATGAACTCCAAAGTTTATACTGCAGTACACACTATATAATGACTCTTCAGGTTACATACTGTCCTTTAAATAGCGAACTCTCCAGAAGCTGGACATTTCTAGAACCTACTAAACAGGAGAAAGCTTCCTCTAGCAGGCTCAGTATTCCAGGCTATATTTTGGGCACACTGTTTCTAAATTTGCATTCAAGCTGTAGTCAAAGCTATAAGCATTTCCTTTTTACAACCTGATGTTGTAGTACACTTATTCATTCCTTTCCTTGTGCACACTTTGTATACAAGGTCTTTGCATAAGTAGCCGAGTATTAAACTCTGTTTACATGCATATATGTGTCTCTGTAGGTATGTGTGCACACATGTGTACAAGAGAGAATGTGCATTTTATTAAAATTATTCTTGGAGAATCACTTAACATGGGTTTAGAGTCTTAACTGCCACTAAAAAAGTGGGAACCACTGAATAAATTTACTTACCATATCTGTCTTAGTTCTTCATGTTAAAATGGAGACAATAATTATCCTATCTCAAAGGTTTTTTATAGATTGATATAAAATATATAAACAATTTTATTTAAACAAATACTATTTTTTTACATTATTTGTTTTCCAACTAAAGAAAATGCGCTATTTTTTCCTCAATTTATTTAGATATAAAGTTATCTAAAAATTCTTATCGAAGTTTTAATTCTCAGAAGTTCAAAAAATAATTTATATTATATCAAAAAGCTATAACTTTCAGGTGAACCTTAATATTTTCTACCAATATTTTGTGAACTTGCATTAACGATTTAGATTTTTCACTCTAATTTGTTACTATGTCACCATTTAAATATAGTTAAGCCTGCAACAACAGTCTTAAACATTTACTCTAAGTTTATGAAACTCTGTGAAGCCTATGAAGGGGTTATCCAGATGGGGTACTCCA